CGACATCACAGCTGCACGCCGACATCACAGCTGCACGTCGACATCACAGCTGCACGTCGACATCACAGCTGCACGCCGACATCACAGCTGCACAGTGAAATCACAGCTGCACAGCGACATCACAGCTGCACAGCGACATCACAGCTGCACAGTGACATCACAGCTGCACAGCGGCATCACAGCTGCACAGCGACATCACAGCTGCACAGCGACATCACAGCTGCACAGCGACATCACAGCTGCACAGCGACATCACAGCTGCACAGCGACATCACAGCTGCACAGTGAAATCACAGCTGCACAGCGACAACACAGCTGCACAGCGACAACACAGCTGCACAGCGACATCACAGCTGCACAGTGACATCACAGCTGCACAGTGACATCACAGCTGCACAGCGACATCACAGCTCCACAGCGACATCACAGCTGCACAGCAACATCACAGCTGCACAGCAACATCACAGCTGCACAGCGACATCACAGCTGCACAGTGACATCACAGCTGCACAGTGACATCACAGCTGCACAGCGACATCACAGCTCCACAGCAACATCACAGCTGCACAGCGACATCACAGCTGCACAGCGACATCACAGCTGCACGGCGACATCACAGCTGCACGGCGACATCACAGCTGCACAACGTGGTGTGGAGACGAGACTCACCTCAGCTCGCTTCAACATCTCCCACTTATTCAGGATCTTCATGGCGTAAACCCTCTCCGTGTTCTTCATCTTTACCACCGCAACCTGAGAGGAGCCAGAGGGACAATCAGGTGTCACAAACATCTGGACCATCAGTGAACATCTGTCTCTGGAAATGATGGAAGTTGGTGACGTGTTTTAGAGCGATCCCAAAGCGTTGTATCAGTCAGATGAGAGGACTGTTAATCTGCTTATTTGTCATTTACGAAACCTAAAACCTAAACAAAAGCATAAATGTAAAAAACTGTTTAAATGGCACGTTTGTTTTTGTAAAAACACTGTCTGAAGATAAAAACACGCACCTATTCAAGTTACACTGTTGTTGGAGACTAACATACACAGTTCAAGATGGCTGCAACAGCTCGCCAGTCTTTCAAAAAGCACTAAATCGGCCATAACTCAGTAAATATTAAATATACAGAGATAAAATATGTGGTGGTAGTAGCTGACAGTCATCCTGAACATGCTCTGAATGTCTCAAGATACCAAAAGAGATCGAGCATAACGTTATAATCAAGGTTTAACCAAAATGGCTCCAACGCAGCCGTGCTTCATCATCTGGTGGTGACCCCACAGACATGAACAATTAAAGGCCTATTTAAATCTTTCAGTTCTTGCTCAAGTGTCTGAGTCACTGGTGTCTGCCCAGTTCAAACAGTTCCTTCAAACTAACAACACTTTTAACATCAAAGTTCAACATTTTTAACAATTTCCAGTCTGGCTTCGGGGCAGGACACAGAACACTCACAACAACATTAAAAGTGATGGATGATGTTAAAACAGCACTTGAAAGTAAACATGTGTTTAGCTTTGTTTATCGATCCAACTATGGCGTCTTGACACCGTGGACCAGTGTCACCTAATAACCATCAGACAAAAACTTGGCTTTAATACGAACATGGTTAGTTGGTTTAACAGCTACTTAACTAAACAAGTTCAGTTTGGTTGATTTGGCTCAGTTTTGTCAGATGCGGTTACACTGAACAAAGGTGTCCCACAAGGGTCTATTTTAGGGTCCTTGCTCTTTTTATGCTATACCAATCAAATCTGTGATCAGATTAAATTCTCCTCTTACCGAATGTACGCAGATGATACAATTCTATACTCGTCAGCGCCCTCTCTAGATACAGTACACTCAAATCTTTAGACCGATTTCAACACCTTACAGAATCCTCTCCGATTCAAAATTCATTCATTCAACCTTTATTTCTACAGGTTAATCCCATTGAGCCTCGAGGACTCATTTACAAGAGAGACCTGATTTCAACAAAGAATGATGACAACAATGGACAACAATAGACGATCATAAAAGAGGCATACAGATTTTTTTTTCTTTTACAAATTAAAATAAAGATGGCAAAAAACAGCTAGATTACAAGGTGAATGTAGAAAACTATAAACAGGAACATGTCTGCATTGGTTCCTGCCAGGAGTCCAACAGATTCTTAAAATTAGCCCTGAGCGCTGGCACAACCAAACTTATGTTGTTTTCCCATTATTCAGCGGTGACCATTCCTTCTATTAAAACACTGAATGGTGATGACAGAGCTTGTAGACACATACAAATATCTTGGTATTTGGATGGATAAAGATCTTAATTTTAAACATCACATTACATATCTAATAAAAAACAAAAATGTCCTCAAGTTTTTTTGTATAGACTGATATTGTATTTTCCATTTCTTCCTGTAAGCTGCAACAAGTTTGTTTTTAATCACAGCTGGATTGCAGAGACCCCCCACCCCACCTTAGCTAAACTGGGGCCCATTTACGATGCTGCTCTGAGGTACATAACAGGTTGACCCTTTAGGACTCACCGTTGTACTTTATATTACCTTGCTGGACTTGACTTCGCTCAATATTCGAAGGATGAAGCGTTGGAATATTTTCATAAACAAAGCCATTTTAGGAAAATGACCATCGTGTATCTACTCCAAGTCCATTTCACTCCAGAACTCAGTCTCAGGACCAGAAGCTGCGGTTTAAGGGACCCAGAGTCAGCAAAGATGAGTTTGTCCTATTTGGGCCCGTGGTCTTGGAATGATCTGCAGCTTAAGTTGAAGTCTTTTATTCTTTTATCCAGTTTTGAACAAAACCTGTCAGAGGTTTAAGTCACATCTTGCACGTGTCAGTTAAACTGTGATTTTTTATGAAAACTTTCATTGTATTTTATGACTTATTACCAGATGTTTTGTTGTAAATATTTTAACATTACCGTCACGGTTAGTAAGATTGTTGCTGTATTTGTAATGGCTCGTTTGCACCGTGCACATTGCCCAGGACATCTTTGCAAAAGAGATTAATAATCTCAGTGGATTTCTTTCCTGGTAAAATAAAGGTTTAAATAAATAAAAATCTCTGTTGTAAAAGGCAGCGGGTTGTAGGAATTCCTTAAGGCTTTTAATTATTATTAAAGTAGATTAAACATTAATAATTTCAGGGTTACGGATTAAAGCCCTCAAAAAGAAAACGGTAAATAGAGTCAAAGGTGCATGTGAAGTTTTATTTCAAAGTTCCTGAACTTTTTCTCTTGTTTGTGTGTGAAATAAACTCTAAATCTGAATTTCCAGACATGCTTATTACAGGCTGCGGTGATGTGTTAAACTGGGCTGACCCCACCTGGAATACCTGCCTGATCAGGACTCGGCTCCTGGACCTGGACACTCGTGCACCGAGCGCCTTTCAAGTGTGCTGAATGTGAATTTGAATGTTTGTGAGGACCGAGCAGAGACTGCCGGGAAGGATGGTCCTCACAGGTACAGCAACACAAAAGCATGAGAGTGTTTAAATCCTGAGGCGGCGGACAGGTGTGGCTGTGACACACCTTTCCTCTGGTATGTGGGCGATCCACACACACACACACACATGCATGCACAGCAGCATAACACACCGGCAGAGCGCAGCTGCCAGAGTTACACAACAGGGTGTTCGGCACGCCGAGGCTTCTGCGTGAATAAAAAGTGATTGTGCCATTTCTGGGGCTGGACGCACCCTCCAGGACGAGCTGCAGGACGAGCTGCAGGACGAGCTGCAGGACGAGCT